ATGCTGCTCAGTTCTGGTCACTGTATTACAGAATGGATATAAATGCTCTGGAAAACGTACAAAGGAGGATGACAAAGATGATCCCATGTATCAGAAATCTTCCCTATGGGGATAGACTGAAGGCCCTGAATTTGCACTCTCTCGAAAGGTGTAGAATTAGGGGGGATATGATCAAGGTGTATAAATGGAAAACAGGAATAAATAAAGGGGATGTAAATAGTGTGCTGAAAATTTCCAGCCAAGACAGGACTCACAGCAATGGTTTCAAGTTGGAAAAATTCAGATTCAGGAAGGATATAGGAAAGCACTGGTTTGGTATTAGAGTTGTGGATGAGTGGAACAAGCTCCTGAGTACAGTTATTGAGGCTAAAATGTTGTGTAGTTTTAAAAATAGGTTAGATAAATACATGAGTGGGTGTGGGTGGGTGTGAGTTGGACCTGACTAGCTTGTGCTGCTGGGTCTAGTACAATGCTCCATCCTTGAGTGGGGATGACCAGACTGGGTGGGTCATTGGGATAATCCAGGGGGTGGGTCATTGGTCTAATCCGGGGGGGGGGACATGGACCTGCTCCGCATGGGTCAGTAGGCCTGTTGTAGTGTTCCTTCTTTCTTATGTTCTTATTATGGAACAAGACCTTAAGGTTGGTGACCATTGAAGATTACTTCTTGAAGTTACAAACACAGAGCTGTGTTTATGGTGTACTGTTTTCAGGGTTTGTAGTTATAGGCGCAGAGCTATACTGGTGTTGTGCCAATTTCATTATTTATTATTACAAGAGCAGAGCAATGCTCATAGTGTATTCTTTTTAGTTACAAGAGTAGAGTTTAGAGTTGTTCTTGGTGTCCCATTTGTAGGTCTTCCCAGAGAGGTACCCATTAGTAGTTGCTATATTTTTTCTGCCTTGAACACCTCACCTGATTAGCTTTCAATTTTCAGTGCTTGTGACTAAGAAAAAGTTTATGCAACTCTTTGCATGTGCAAGTGCCATCTGATCAGTTTATATGGTAGACCATTTCTAGATTTGTTTTCTGTGTGATAACCTGGAAAAGCCTCTTCCGATTGCTTCATAGGTTTAACACCGGTGTATCCTATGTAAAAGAAGGATTGTTACTGGAGTGTATAGGTGACAGTTTACCAATTTTAATTTTAAAATGGAGTAGTATTTTGTTCTGTGAAAAAACTTGAGTGTGTCTCCTCTGGGCTGCATGAGGCTAGCTGTAACAGCCTGGTTTATCAGGACTTAATCCACCAGGAGGTCTGATCTAGGACATTGACCCCCCAAAATACATCTTTCAGGTATCCTTTAGATATCCCTAAGTCAAGATCTTGCAACATAGGAATCTTTGCAGTAAGCATTACCTCCAGTGCTAGGCTGTGCCAGCTGTATGATTATATAGGTTTAGTACTTCTCTGTAATAATAATAATAATAAGTGGGTGTGGTGGTGGGATGGGGTCTTCTTGCACCTGCACCTCAGTATACTGGTGGGTGGGGTCATTCTTTTATTAATTGATAGACAGGCAAGTGAGTGCTGGCAATCCAGTGTGCCAGGTAGTGGGGGTCATTTTTGCATCAGTTTGCAGGCAGGCAAGCAGGCAGGCAGGCAGGTAAGCTTGAACTGCCACTTTGGTTATTACAGTGGGATCCATTTCATCTCACATTTTAGGGGTTCAAACCTCATTTGAACTTACTTTTTGTACAGCTTTGGCAGTAACTTGTACATTGTATGTCATGAGACATTGTGATTAAGACTGAATTACATACCTACAATACTTTGTGATCTTGAATCTGCAGAATGTTTTAAATCTACAGTTTTAAATCTTGAAGTGCACTTTTTCACATTTAATATATTAATGTTTAATTTCCATTCAGTTTGACATGTGGGATAGCAAAGAGGTGTTTATTTCTTCTTTCTGTTTTTTTTTTTTTTTTTTTTTTTTTTAGTTCATCAGAGCATTTACTTTTTATGTTATGATTTGAGTTTTATAGGGCAGTGTGTTTTATAAAGGCATTGAATTTGATTTAAAAAAGGTTCACATCTGTGTTAATATCTTGTGCAGTTTGGTTAGTCTTCTGCCTTTTACTGTAGAGATATTTTGATGCTTCATTATGTACTAAGGTACAAAAGAAGAACAGAAAAAATTCTTTATGTAAGTTGTGTAAATGTAAATAACTCTTTTTAACTTATTCCTGGTATATATCCTTTAGAGTATAATAATAAGATATTATCTCCTACATTGTATAATAATGAGGTATTAAAAGGGCCCCAATGGAAATAAGTCACTTTGTATGATAATCTATGTAACTGTATTTGTGTATGCCTGAATAAACTTACTTACTTGCCTGTAAGTTTCTTGGTTTCAACTGGCTTATTTGTGATAGCTGTGAATGAAAAGATGGAATGCTGGTCAGTCATCATGTCAATAATTAAGCCTACTTTAGAGTGGTTGCTATATAGTCAGAGTAAATGGATGTCTCAGTGATTCTAGTGGGTTCAGTGAGGGGGTACTGTAATAGGCAATACAGTGGACCCCCGCATAGCGAACGCCTTGCATAGCGAACAATCCGCATAGCGAACGCTTTGTTCGCTAAAATTTTGCCCCGCATAGTGGACAAAAACCCGCTCAGCGACCTTCGTCGGAGACGCGTCCAATGTGCGGCCTCAGCCAGCCTCACATGTGCCGCCCGTCCCATTGTTTACCAGCCAGCCTCCGCGGTAACATTCAAGCATACACTCGGAATATTTCGTATTATTACAGTGTTTTCGGTGCTGTTTCTGGAAAATAAGTGACCATGGGCCCCAAGAAAGCTTCTAGTGCCAACCCTGTGGTAAAAAGGGTGAGAATTAGTATGGAAATTAAGAAAGATTTTGAAGGGTTTGGGGCTAACCCTGAGAAGCCTATGCCAGTTGTGGAATCCATTGTGCCTACTTCAAAAATTAAGGAAATGTGTGCACAGTGGGTTGAACTGCAAACCTTTATGGATGAAAATCACGCTGACACAGCTGTTGCAAGCCGTGCTGGTGACTATTTCAATGACAATGTTGTGGCCCATTTTAGACAAATCGTAAAGGAACGGGAGGTACAGAGCTGTATGGACAGATTTGTTGTGCGACAGAGGTCCAGTGACTCTCAAGCTGGTCCTAGTGGCATTAAAAGAAGAAGGGAAGTAACCCCGGAAAAGGACTTGCTACCTCAAGTCCTAATGGAAGGGGATTCCCCTTCTAAACACTAACACTCTCTCTCCCCTCCTCCCATCCCATCAATCATCACCAGATCTTCAATAAAAGTAAGTGTCATGTAATTGTGCATGCCTTTTTCAGTTTGTGTGTACTAAAATTAACATTTTTTTGTGGTAAAAAAAATTTTTTTTCATACTTTTGGGTGTCTTGCACGGATTAATTTTATTTCCATTATTTCTTATGGGGAAAATTAATTCGCATAGCGAACATTTCGCATAACGACCAGCCCTCTTGCACGGATTAAGTTCGCTATGCGGGGGTCCACTGTACTGCAGTTTGTTTAATCCTGCCCCACCTGGTGTATATAATGGGAAAAGTAAAGCTTGGACCTTGTGTTTGGTTTAAAATTTGAGGTGTTTTCTAAGATGGTTGTATGGTTTTATTGTCTGTTTCTTGGTATCATTTCATAAACATACTACTGAAATAGAGATGTTTTTGGTTGGTTTTAAAACTGGAAGTACCTTGAAATCAGGCTCAAAATAGTGGAAATATTCAATTTTTAATAATTTTCCTGAGGATAGGTAAGGCTTCCTTACACCCCTCAGGTTGTTTTATAGGTTGTATTATGTATGATTAAATTATTGGGATGCTGTAAACCATGACCAATCATTCTTGTTTATTTTTTATTATCCGAGTAATAGGGTGAATCTTCGATTTTTTTGTTATAATGAATTCAAAATGGAGGGCAAGTGTAATAGAGGAGAGGCCTCTGACACTAAAGCAACTAATGTTGCTTTAGTGTCAGGAATGTCTACAGTGTTTATTTTGGACTCTGTTTTTAAATTGGATTTTTTTTTTAATTTTGTGTAAAATTTGTCAAATTATTGTATTCTCTGCATTTTAAAGGTTAGTTCTAATAGTTGAATGGGCATTTTTTGTGCTCAGTCGATAGAATGGAAGGCATACTAGCAAAATAGCTAAGAATTTGGTTGAAGTGAGAAATATAATTGGCTTAAAATAGGACTCAAAATGGGTGAAATTCCCAGTGTCATAATGGCACCCAGACTGCTAACTTTGCACTTGTGTAATTCCTCAAGTTTTCCATTAAATTTTGCAATTTTGGTGTCCTTAATTTCAGAAAAAGGTTCTCTTACCATTTCAGAAGAAAAATTACTTTTTGTTTTTTGACAAATGTCAACATTGTCAGCAATTAATTTCTGGGCTTCTGACAGTGAAGGGGTCAATGAGGTTGTGCCTTGAGGGTCATTGAGTTAATTGAGGTTAATACATACATAGTAAGATCTGCAGCCATTCGTTAGGTAAATTTTTATAGTTTATTGTTTGTAATTGGCTTTGAGGTTATCACCGAAATTCATTGTGTTGGTGTGGATTTCTGTACTGTATATAGTGCACAATTTGTAATTATACTCAATTAAAATCATTGCTTGTAAATTGTGTAATTTTTACCAAACAAGCTAAATTGTCTTAAAACTTTATCTTTTCAAAGAAAATTATCTTTAGCAGTGATAGATACTGTATTTTTTTGTGAATCAATATGGTATAGTATACAAATGGTAAAACCTCGTTTTAACTGACTAATAGAGAGGGAGTGGATGGCCTATAATGGAATTTATGGTGGACAGAGATAAGTGCTTTGTTATGAGTGTTACAATAATACAGTTCTGTAACCGATGGATTTTGTCACTTGTTTCCGAACCATTAACCGAGCAAATTTTGTCCTGTATTTCAGAAGTCCATTAAATCAAGACTAGTTGTATCTAGAGCTTACTGTAATTCTCTGGGTGTTCATTCGTACAGGTATACTTGGCATCCGCTTGGGTCACGTGGTACACAAGATGACACCCCAAACTCTCGTGCTCTGTGGACCCTCAGGTATTGTTCTTTATATCTTTGGTGTGAGATTCTTGTGCTTTTTTGGAAATACAAAATTGTTTAACCTTGAGTTTGACCCATTGAAATCTATACTTAAAAGTAACTGAATTTTGTTACCTTGCACAGTAAAATTATAATGTGAACAATTTGTTGTGTGCTAAGGTTCATGGCTTACTAGTTCAGTATTCTTTATATTGTATATATTAATAATATATGTAATCAAATATTTTTTTTATAGGATTAAAAGGTATATGATTAGAATATAACTAATGAGAACTTCCATTTCAAAGCGCTTTAAGTTTAAAATGATGCATTACAATTTAATTTGTTTTCTTTTGGGGTTTGAACTCTGGCCATTAAAACATATACATGTATACAGTGGTACCCTGAGTTTTGAACTTAATTTGTTCCAGAAGGCTGTTCAAGTGCCAATACTGGACGAATTTGTCCCATAAGAAATAATGTAAATTAGGTTAGTCCGTTTCAGACCTCCAAAAGTACACGTACAAAAGCACTTACAATAATTAACTTACTTAATTGTTCGAGTTGGAGGGGTTCGAAACTCAGGGTACCACTGGACATAAATAATTTAAAAGTTTGTATTTATACTTGGAGTAAAAAACATAGTCACTCTAACTCATACCCAAACCATGTTTCCAGAAGAGCATAGACATCACAGTTCTAATGATCTGCCAAACTGCAACATCCCCCTCCATCCTTCAGAGTGCTGGCACTGTACTTCTCACCTCCAGAACTGCAATATTTCCACCCTACCTTCAAAATGCAGGCACTAGTTCAGAACTCATGTCAGGCTAACTGGTTTCCATGAATTCCTTCACAGATGTTATCTTGCTCACACTCCAATAGTGTCAAATCCCAAAAACTTCTCTCTACTCTGATTCACTATCCTCTGATATGCTTGCTAGTTCCTCAAGCCCCTACTTCTTACAACTACCTTGATATTCTCCTTTCAACCCTTTTTTGAATGTTCTGTACACCTTTTTCCATTTATACCAGAGATATATACATTATTGGTCAGCCTATCTTGCTCCATACATCAGTGACCACATCATCTCAACAACTCCTCTGCTACTCCCTGATTTATATGATTTATATCACCACACAGTCACCAATTTTTTTTTTTACTCTGTTTTGCCATATATTCACATCACACATTGATCTCAAAACATGACATCTCCACTGCCTTCAGCTTTCACCTTGTTGCAACATTTAAGGACTGGAAAGCCATGACTTTTGAATTGGTCAGTGATTATGCTGTTGTGCTTAATGTCCAAAAACCACCTCAACAGTCCCTCCTCTGCTGTTTGAATAATACTTTTGGAAGCCCCACAGTTGTTCCTAATGGGTAAGCTACAAATTCTCTGCATAATATTCACGGCATAAAATTTTATTCAGGAGTTGGAAAGTCAACACTACTGAAGAAGCTGCTGGAGGAGTTTGGTCCTCATTTTGGATTTTCTGTGTCACACACAACACGCTCTCCAAGGGAAGGAGAGGAACACGGCAAGCACTACTATTTTGTCACCAGACAGGAGATGGAAGATGCAATCAACAATGGGAATTTCATTGAACATGCAGAATATTCAGGTAATGTATTTATTTAGTTCTGGTTAACTCTGATAAATCATGGCATCTGTAACTCTGTTTATATATTCCAGATCAGTTTTGTTTGTGAACTTATTTTTATCTGAACTAATGCTCAGTGATAACCCACATGGAGACAAACTCGGGAGATTATTCATCTGTATATTTCAACCCCCTTCTGGGATCCTTTACAGCAGATGAAGAGGATCTCAGAAGGGGATCGAAATGTACAGATCAGTTAATCTCCCGAGTTTGTCTCCATGTGGGTTATTATTGAACACTGACAAGTGTTCATTACACTTTAGTTATTCATCTAAACCAATGTTTATTTTATTATTATTACACTCATTCAAAGCATTGTTTTAGATTTGTGTTTTTTTTTTTTTAATAAATATTGTTATAAATCTTTTAAGTATTGTTTAAAATTGTTTTCTTGTTGTATTATGTGGATTTTTTTAGCTTTAACCTATTGATGCCATTTATCCTTAGGAAACTTGTATGGGACCAGTAAAACTGCTGTACAAGATGTACTGGAGAATGGCCGCATATGCATCTTAGATATAGATACTCAGGGAGTCATACAGGTCAAGAAAACTGATCTGCCAGCACAGTTTATCTTCATCAGACCACCATCAATTGAGGTTTGCAACAGTGTTTATTGTAGTACTGTATGCTGCTTAGACTGGGATTTGTAGTGTCTGCACATTGTGTCTTTTTAAGTTTTCTTATAGACCTCAATCAGAATGTGTAGAATTTAAAGTAGAGGTACAGGGAATTGTTCATATATCTTCCAGTTTGAGAAAGGAGAGTTTGAGCCTAATACGACAGCACAAATCAATGTTTTGGAATTTATCCTCATCTTTCTTTCTTTCAACACACCGGCCGTATCCCACCGAGGCTGGGTGGCCCAAAAGTAAAAATGAAAGTTTCTCCTTTTACATTTAGTATTATATACAGGAGAAGAGGTTACTAGCCCCTTGCTCCCAGCATTTTAGTCGCCTCTTAAAACACGCATGGCGTACGGAGGAAGAATTCTGTTCCCCTTCCCCATGGAGATAAGAGGAAATAAACAAGAATAAGAACTAGAAAGAAAATAGAAGAAAACCCAGAGGGGTGTATATATATGTGCTTGTACATGTATGTGTAGTGTGACCTAAGTGTAAGAAGAAGTAGCAAGATGTACCTGAAATCTTGCATGTTCATGAGACAGAAAAAAGGACACCAGCAATCCTACCATCATGTAAAACAATTACAGGCTTTCGTTTTACACTCACTTGGCAGGACGGTAGTACCTCCCTGGGCGGTTGCTGTCTACCAACCTACTACCTATGATTTATCCTCATATTCCAGCTTAAAAATGTAAATAATATTTTCTTTCTGATTTCATATAAATATTCTTTGATTTTTTTTACTCATACAGACATTCAAATTTTTTGGTATACCCATTCAATAAAAATTATAAACCACTATAGTTTTCTTCATAGGTCTTCCCACACTACTCACTCCAATGGCATGTCACATCTTGATCATTTGCCTTCACTCACTCTGATCTAACAAACACACAATCTTTACAGGCACTTTATACAACACTCACACTCACTCTGTACACACACACACATATGTGCTTGCATAATTCTAATCTACTTTGCTCCTATTTATATGATCAGATCATGAAGATGCATAAAGATTAAAGGCTTACTAGAATAAGAGAAGTGGTAGATGGTGAGAGACCCCAGAAAACAGTTGGAGTTACCAAAAGCACAATTAGAAAAAACTGTACTAATATTACAAGTCTGAGACTCTTCCTCTTGTTTATGTATCAACAAATGAGCCAAGCTGTCATGGCTGTGTAAATTTGTAGGTTGCATGTAGTCATGACATCAGGCTACCAAATTAGAACTTTTAGATTGTCTAGAGTTAATTATAGTGTAGACTATCCCTTTATTTAATTATTACTATTACAGGTTCTTCTCAACTTATGATGGGGTTATGTTCTGATGAACCTATCGTAAGTTGAAAATATAAGTCGAATATGAATATGATATGATAAATAAATAAGTAAATAAATAACTATTGTCAGTGAATAAGTAAATAAACAAATAATTACTGTAACAAACTAAATACAGGTATTGAAAAGTATATAAATGAATACAAGTTTATCCTATCAATAAATGTACAGTACTGAATATGCTTCTCTGTCACACCATCCTAAAGTCAAAATATCGTAAGTCGAACCATCGTAAAGTGAGGAGCATCTACGTATCAAAGTGATTTGTAGTGAGCCTTGTCTATGTCCACTTTTTCACTCTTAATTCATATTTTTCTTCTACAGGATTTAGAGAAACGATTACAAGCCCGTGGCACCGAAACAGAAGAAAGCTTGAAAAAAAGGCTCAGTATTGCAGAGAAAGAACTGAAGTTTGGAGAAATTGATGGTAACTTTGACAGGGTAATTGTCAATGATGATGTAGATGAAGCTTATGAACAGCTTAGGGATTTTATGCTTCCAGCAATAAATAAAAAAAATGGTGATTGAACTTCAGAAAATGTGTAAAAAATAAGTAAAGTATCAGTTCCATGTGTTATAAAATTAATGTGAAGGAAGTTGTATCAATGGTTTATATTTGAGAAGTTATGAATTGCATTCTACAATATAATAGTGTTTATGATCAGAACCTCATTAAATATCATGGTGAAAGATTACACATTTTAGAAACGTAACACTATTCAATTCAGTTTACAAGTTCTTATCAGGACTTTTTATTTCCGTATCTGATTTTCTTAACTGAATAAGTTACACTTGCCTTGGTTAAAATCCACACTAATACCAACTGATTTTAGCCATATTTAGTGTCTTTTTTTATTTTTCCTATTGATAGTGATAAAATTAAAGTACAGATAGGTAACCCTTTATCCAGGAAACTTAGAACCAAAAGGTTTCTGTATTCCATGATTTTTTCTGGATTTGGGTTAATAGGTCATGCACATCCAGGTAATATTAAATGAAGTTTATATTTTAATATTTAAAGTTAGTTAATTACTTTAGAAAGTATAATTTTTTATTCCTGCTTCCTAAGTATAATATGAAGGATGAGTTTTATTTATTTTGGGTGTTTTTGAAATGAGATTAAACTGTTATCCCGTCCCTATAACACTTTTTTACCTATTTATTCATGAAGTATCTGGGGCAAATAAGGATGAAGGTAGAGAATTTTCAGTACAGAAACATCTCTTGGCACTATGTTTACTCACTGAAAAATTTCCAGCAGCTTCAATTGTTCCATAAACTGGTTTTTCTTCAATGATCACTACTTAAAATATTATACAGCCTCTCATCACTTAACGGTGGAGTCTCATTCCTAAGACTTCGTCGGTAAACAAATTCGTCGCTAAGTGAGGAGCATACTATAATGGTAATGGGTTTGTGTCAACCATCTTTGATATTTTTTTTAATGTCACCTTTGCACCATTTATAATATTTCTGGTATATTTTTAAATTCAAATTCAAAGTTTATTCTCTATAAAGATTACAATGTTGAATTTACAGAATTTGGTTGTTGTGTGGTTTACATGTAGTTAAATAATGATTACAGAGTGTACCACTAGAATGCCTAGCATGGCTAGGCATTTCGGGCAGACTTAGTTTAATTCTTTATTTTAAAATATTACAAATTATGAGATAAGTTGGTATTATGGCTAAGTGACTAAATACTAGTTTGTGAGTTTAGCAATGTAAATGCTTTTGTTTTGGCACAGTACATAGTTTCAGTATTGGAGTATCATAGGATTCATTATTTTAAGATTGAGATTAATATTTCTGTTCATGGTCAAATGGGTGAGTGAGTGTAAGAGTGAACCACCAGGTGGTATTCGTGTAGTTAGTTGATGGGGTTTATCAGGAAAATAAGATGTTTTCTAATGGTAGTTTTGAAGGTGATGAATGTGTCTGCAGTTTTAGAGTTCTCAGGTAGGGTGTTCCAGATTTTAGGGTGTGCTGTATATTGTAATAAGCAGAATAGAGGAAATCAGCTCTAATATACATTATTTAGGTATCCATACTGGTCAGAGAGTCCATTGTAAGTCTGAGTCGTCGGTAAACGAGTACGTTGCTAAGTGAAGGGAGGCTGTACTTAATTTCATTTGTTGTTCACCAGTGTAAGCTGCAATGCTTCAGACCATGAAATATCTCTTCAGTTTTACTACCAAACCTGTTACTCTAAAATTATTGTTCATCCAAACCATCATAGTTGGCATTATTTTGACAGTGTTCAGGATTCAAAACCATTTGCACAATTTCAGTGTGTTGGTTGATGCACATCTACAGTACATTGTTGCCATTTAAATACTATGTTAGTACCCTCTTTTTACTTTTGCCTCCTGACATATTAATCTAGCAAAGTCTAATAAATTAGATACAGTTTTCTTTAATGTGAAACAGAACACTGTTGTAAAGCAGGTTAAACTCCTTGTGATGGAAAGCAACAAGTTATGCCAGCTGTTCCTCAGAATGTCCTGTGGTAAGTTTTCTCATAACCAAGCAGTAGCAAGACCAGTGTCATTGATAATGTATTTTTTTGGAGTTACTCTACAGCATTAAGCATATGTGTTCTAAATTTGTCTTCAAAGCAGTACTGAAACAAATGTATATCCCTTGGTCTAGTGTGCAGAATATTAACACTAACAAAATTCTGCGATTGTTAGATAAGAAAGGCTGACAATGTGTGGTTCTTGACCCAGTCAAGTTTAATTTACTTTCTCCACTCTCTTTTTTCTTAGCCATATATTCTATATCACAGTGAAATACATTTACTGTCCCTAGAAAATAATTTACCATATAGTATTGGCAGCAATTCCATTCCTATAGGTGCTTTTCATGTCTGCAAACATAGTTTTGTGGGGAGGTATCACTAAAGGTAGTCTTAGATTTTAGCATATTCTTTCAGCATAAAATTAAAAAATCTTTCTTTTTAGTTTTGCAAAGTAGATCAATTTGGGTTCTAGTCCCAGTAACTCATGAGGACTCCTTTTTGACTCAATCATTATTTTCACTCCTCTTCTTCGGTCCCATCATTTGTATTTATCATTCCCAATTGCATTCAATGCTCCTATATAAACATTTCTCCAAATCTGGAGTGGACTTCTGCTGATTTTCTTGGTATAGTTGCTAACAGTGTCTACACAAACTGCTGAGTATATTATGCAGAATTATGAACACTTCCAACACTTGAAGTTCAACAGCATGGATCCATAGCCTGCACTTCACAGCTCCTTATCCTTCACATCAGCAGGTATCATATCTTTGCTAAATACACAAAAGTTATTATATATCAAGTCAGTTGACTTGTAGACTCCTCTACAAATTCTATAGTTCAGGACTTTCCAATCTCCCACAGGCTGTTTCCCAATTTATGACAATTTCTCAGTCTTGGTACCTTTGAGATTTTTTGACAATATCATTGAATTGAATTTGTAACTAACTAGGATTCTGGTAATCCTAGTATAATAGTGTTGGTTGTGGGAAATGGATCACACACACATATTTTGATAGATTAACCTATTTATCAGAGCACACAAGATTATTTTTCATTATCTTTCATTGCCCTGCATAGTCACTCTACCATCTTCTCTGAGAGTCTCACCTTTAATGCATATTCTGTATATTGTATGCCTTTTTATCCATGGCTGATCTCCTTCACTAGTTTCACAATTGTATTCACCTCTTAGCACTGGTACTCTTTTACTATTGTTGTTTTCCTTTTATCATGCAGTGCTACATAAGTATTATTATTACATTCATGGAAAGAATATATGCAGTAGCAATTTTGTCATGAGGAAAAGTTATAACTAACCACAGTCCATACATTCAGAAGATAACTGTATGCAGCAAGCTTTTATACATTAAGTGAGCACAGGACATGACTTGACACGATTGTGTGGGGTTGTTTTAAGCTGTGTGTATCTACTAATATGCTGACTTTTCATTGCTAATGGTAACTTACTATTACCATACATGCTTTAGCATTTTAGCTTTCTTCATACTAATAATGAAGCCCTTAGGGCATGTAGGAAACATTTTCCTCTATGCAAACTACATAACAGTACACTTACTATCTTTGATAGTGAAAATTATGAGTAAACAGATTGTGTTCATATGACTATAAATCACTGACTATGATGACTGGGTGAAATCATTTAACCAGTATGATTTATCACATCAGTTTGTAATTTCATTACCATAATTTATTCACACCTTATGCTTTTTGTTATTCAATCATTTTTCATTCCTCTTATGATGAATACATTGAGAAGACATTATAAACAAAGATGCAGTGATAGTACAGTACAGGTTCAACCTGATGATGGTGAAGATAGTTGTGGTTCAAAGGATCTGAATAGTAGTGTGCACATACTTTTGGGCAGTACTGATATTAAATGAGTGATGGTGAATGGTTCCTTCGTTGGGACACCCAATGTTGTTTGGAAACTGCTGGTGATAAAAAATTAATTATTTTTTCCATGTTCTCCCATTCTTATAGTGTCAAGATAACCACTAATATATAAGAGGATTGAGTCTCGATACCATGCCTGCAACAAGTCATTGCTATTTTACAAATTGAAGATTAAACTTAGTGTTTTCGTTCAGGATGGACCAAAACATTTAAAATTTCATCTCTGTAGTTTTGTTGTGTACTGCACAATTGTAATAAAACAGGATAACATAGTATTCCAGCAAAGTCAGAGATGCATGCCTGTTAGTGGTCACTTTCTCACAGGGCCAGGAGCTTGAGATCAGACCCATGCAACCACTAATAGGTAAGTATATACATTGCTCATTGGCTGTATCAGAAAGTTCTTATTGAAAATGTATGGTTCAGGTGAATACTTGATTTATTTTGATGCCAGTGAGAGGCTCTTGATTCAGGCAATTAGATCTGTCCTCTATTTCCTTCCATGAAACCTGATTGCCTTTCATTTTCCCAGGTGCTGTGTGTGCTCTCTCTCACCATGAATGTAATATTTTATTTTATGAAAAGAAGCTTATGATATGGAAATGATGTAAGTTAGTCACAGTTGATTGATGGACCAATTGTATGAAATATGTTAAAGAATTTGTCCCTATTTTAAGTAAAATAATAGATAACTATAAGCTGCAGCTTTCCTAAGTACCTAAGATTTTGCTGTGATTATCACTGTGTGATGTGTGTTGTTGTTGCTCACAAAAACCAGACTTTTATGCTTCATTACATGCATGGTTGATATCAGGGCTTAAATTTGTTTGATATTGTAAAAGGCATTAATATATAGTGGTTATTTTATGAATTAGGGTAGTTATAATAGTAAGAGGTTTGTAGTTATGTTTATCCTGATTGTTTATACACTTAGGACTATAATTATTATTTAAATTTTGGATTTTTATTTTTTTGTCTTAAAGCAAATTTGAATAAAAATTAAGTATTAAAGATTAATGATTATCCATAATTGTGCCCAGCTATAAAAAAAATAGCCTTGGAAATAACAAGTTACATTATTATTACCATATTCTTATTCCATTCATGGAGGAAGTTTTATATCCATGGGGGGTGGTTACATTATTCATGGGGGGGGGGGGGCGATGCTAAACCCTTGGGAGTTATACAGTGGCTGGGGAAATGGGAGGCAGTCAGGTTTGATCCAAGGAATGGGAAGCCAGATCCAATTCCTTGGATCAAGAGTTCCTCAATAACATCATTAACCTCCCTTGATTATTATTATTATTATAATCAAAAAGAAGTGCAAAACTAACCTCCCTTGAGGACTTATAAAAGACATGAAGCACAAAACAAAAATGTACACTAGTTCTAAACTTTATTTTCCCTAGATTTGTACATATAATATTGATCAAAGTTTTATTATAATGGATATTCTATTTGGGATTATAAAGAGGCCATTTTACTCTCAAACTCAAGACCTCCAAAGACAAGAAGTTCTCATCCAGATGTTGCAACAGTTAAGATACATCTTCAAGAATCATATATATAGTACAACAGTACACAAGATTCTATATACAGTATAGTATTATAAGATTCTAGCAAGGCCAAATTTAAGTTAAACAGGTATTATTTTATAATTCTTTAATGCAAGTTGTAAAGTTCCTGTATTATAGAATTATATAAAAAGCTGTTCTTTTTTAGTACAAGTTTGATCAGCAAAAATGAACTAGACATGAGTAATGCCTAGGTATCTTTTTTATGAAGGTATTTTGCTACCCACTGACTCATTTTCAATTCAATACAAAACTTATAAACTGAAGACAAGATGAGGTAATCAGTCTCTCTGCCTTGTAAGTGTGCAGCCCATGAGCTTTCATCATGGACTACAGATTAAGGCTGGGATGATACCAAAATTTTTGCTAATACTGATACCATTACTCAATTTTAGGCTGATACCACTACAATCAAAATTAGCTGTTGCCCACCAATTCCAATACTTTGGGACACCCCATGCTGCACTGTATGACCCGTGTAGGTTTAGAGCTTCATTTTTTATTATTATATTAATTTGGCACATCCCTAGAATGGACTATTTCTACTGTGTCCAGTTTACAAACTACATATATTAAATTGAAAGTCACTGGTTGGCAAAACATCATATTAAAGATATCCATGTATTGCACTTGTCTTATTCATCACCTGTTGGTATTGTATACCATTATTGTAGTGACAAAACTGTACATAATGAACAATATTGTGCTTTAGTAGGATTTTCACTATTCATGTGGAGGAAAAAAAAACAGGAGACTCAAACCTTACATATCAGGGTCAGTGATGCTTACTATGAAATTATCAAAACAATAACACCAACAAATTAGCAATTCTTCAAATGATCCATTATTATGACAATCATAATGTCATACCGACAAGTATATACAAGCCAAAAGACTGGCTTCTGAGTGTATGCAAATACATTATACCAATTTATTTGCAGAAAACTTTGTACCAACTGTTTAGTGGTGGTGTTTGCATGTTTTGGTACTAGTTCTTGTAGTTTTTCTTGTACCAAAACAGCTCACAAAGGGCTGCCAGCACATAACTTCTACTGTATTAACAGTTTTATTTGGTTAGCTAAGATTCAAGAGCTTTTAACCTGACATGCCTGTAAATATATCATAAGGATCATGCCAAGTAAATTGAGCAGGCCTTTGACATCAGTTTTAAATTATTAAATTGTCACCCTTGCAATCAATTTTAAATTATCAAATTGTTTTAGTTTCACAACCAAAAAATGTTTGAGTATCATAAGGCTAGGGTATTGCTAATATTTCCAAGGAGTTGTATGATAAAAGAGGTATTTGTATGAAAGATTTAACAGCAATAAAAGATTTTGTTGCTCACACTATTATCCTTATTACATCATTCTAAATCAATGGTTCTCAACTTTTTATCTATGACTGACTGACTTTAGCTTCTCCAAAGTTATTGTGACCCCACTTGAAAATAAAACACCTTAATCATGATCAGCTATTTATTAAAACTAGAAAAATAAGGGAGCCAAGATACTGTATGTGATAAACATATCAATGCAATTTAAGAAGCAATATAAAACCTGAGATTATCAGTTGTATAGTATACAACTGAACCTAAGAATGAACTTTTTTTTTTTTTGTCACTAGTGATGACACTACTACATGACCCCCAAGGAAAATACTTTGCAATCCCCAATTGGAGTTGCAACCCCGGGGTTGAGAACCCCTGATCTAAGTGATGTGCAGGCTTCTAAGAGACTACACTGTTTTCTCACATATGTGAGAAATTAATTCATTCGAAACTTATTATACAAATAAAAGATTTTTAATGCTCTATTTGAAGAAGCACATGTAATGATTAAAGTTGTAAAATGCATTGTAAACTTCATGTTCTTTGCTATAGGAAAGCAAATACAGAAATGCATCTTCAAGAAGTATGTATTAAACAGGGATGAATATCAAAATTAGTGTTATTCTATAGCATGAGGACTAGGATATTCCAGAGGCATTTTTAGTTTATACAGTACTCTGTAAACTAATTGCTTTTCCATGAAATATATTACAGAAGTGTCATCATTGCACTAAACTTTCCTGCTTTCCCTGAATTATTCAAAAGAGCACAGAACATTGCTCAAAAATCTTAACTCACCACTAGTAAATTAAATTTATATAAAAAAAAAAAAAAATTATATTTACTTTTATTTTGCACCATAATTATATTAAATATACAATTTGTTTCATAAGATAAATAGTGCAGGTTCAAAATTCCAAGTCAATCTAGGTGAAAGTACACATACATTTAGTTTTTAACAGTTAAGAAGTCCAAACTATACTAGTTTCTCTTAGGATTCAGTCTAATTTTCCACCCTAGTATATGTTTCCAAAAAACTGCATTGAAAACAATTTTGCATTTTTTTATCATTGACAAAATGCATCAAAAGCAGTGTGTTGCAAATACTCAAAACCTACCTGGCTGCTATTGTTTGTGAAGAGGTTAGACAATGTTATAAGAAAAATATCCCATAAGAGGAAGCACTGCATTACACTTGAGCTTGATTAGTTTTGTACATGTATATGCAGAGCAATCTTCAAATACAGTGTGATATTGACAGGCTAAGAAGTAAAATAGGCCTTCCCCCAAATAAAGTTATGCACCAAGTAAACTTGCTTTGTTCAAAGACAGTACTTGATCATCAAGTACTCTTAAATCTCTAAGGTAGTCATATTCTTTGTGGATAATATAATCTATCATGTTGAAACTGTCGAAGTAAAAGAAAATGCTTATCAAAAATAAAATGAGAGTGAAAAATGACACTGAAATACATATACAGTGGATCCCCAGCTTACGATATTATTTCATTCCAGAAGTATGTTCAGGTGCCATTACTGAACGAATTTGTTCCCATAAGGAATATTGTGAATTAGATTAGCCCATTTCAGACCCCCAAACATACACGTACAAACGCACTTACATAAATACACTTACATAATTGGTCGCATTGGGAGCTGATCGTAAAGCGGGGTCCACTGTATTTGTACGTGGAATAAAGTTTAAGAATTTGGTTTGTATTTTTGGTGAGGAGAATAGGAGAAAAGTAAAAAAAATATTTATGAAAGGAAGATAACTTGCCAAATTTTATTGGCACTTGTGAAAATAGATCTAGAATTCATTAGGAATTTATCATGCATGATAAACTATATACTGTACAGTATCAGCAAGAGTGAAACACAATATAGTGATGATCTTAAAGGACAGATAAACTGATAAGAGCTATGAAGTCAGAATACAGCAGAGCACATGCATTGAAGACAATGTAACAGGACAAGCTTGTGCTGTATGAACATACTGGAAAAATCATGCAATTTACAAAATAAAGGTAAAGTAATATTTAAGGTAAGAAGAAAAGGTGTATGTACTGTATAATAGAACACACGTTCATATATCAGCTTTATAAAGTGTTCTGTTGTCCTTTTATTCTTAAACTAAATATATAATATACATACTGTATGTATATGTATGTATTTAAATATACTTAAATAGTATATTTAAATATATTTAAATCTATGCATTTATAATTTTTTATTTATATTTAAGTACTACACTTGTTATAATGCATGTATTTTATTTCCTACCATCTCTCACTTTTCTGCATTTCCTTCATCTTGTATGATTACCAATTTTATTTTAAAACACAGAATTTGATTCTTGATGAGTTAATGTAAGTTACAGCTTCTTTGTTATATTGTAAGAACTTAATTAGAATGGCTAATCTAATGAATGGATGTTACAGCTGCTGGTTCATCAGCAACTGCAAGTGACAGGTTGTTAATACTTATAATGTTGAGCTGGAGGACAACACAAAAGAAAGAATTGTACCACAGAATATACAAGTTACATCAAAAATTTGTATGGTAAACTATGTGATACAAGAGTGATTTTGTATCATATTCTTGTATTCATGTGTTAAACATGTAATGTATATTGGTGTGTACCATACATGTTTTCTGAATCCATTCAATTATGAAAAAAAAAAAAGACCATAAAACAAGTCAGATATAGAGGTGAGTAAAAATTAAAGGTAAAGTCACGTATTCTAAATTATCAATATTATTATATTTAATAAGCACTAAACCTGTGTCCATCACGTGTTTTGAATATAAGAGCAATGTACAGTACTGGAAAAGACAAGCATCAATAAAAACAAAACTAGTGGTAAACTTCATATTGGGAATGTTGAGCTGTCAACCCAATAATGATGAGTCCAACAAGACTGACTGTGGAGGTGGGAAGGGGGAGGGTGGGGACCGGTTACTTCTGGCTGAAGACCAGATGATGCGATAGACAAAGTGCACTGTTTGTGCCAGCAAGGCAAACATAGTCCCTCTGGTGTTCCTTAAATATCTGAAAGGGGATGGAGACAAAGTTTCACCACTGAATTGGAGATGGCAAGAGAAGCA